GGAACTTGGTCTCTAACCCAAAGTCTGTCTTCCTTTAACAAGACCACACTGCCTTTTGCTCTTATTCAGTTATTTGATCAGAGGAATTAAATCAACTAATCCTCCTGGACCTGTCTCATAGTTAAACATCCAGCTGTGTCCAAAAATGACAGAATATATTTTCTCCCTTAAGCTCTTACAGCACCAGTCAAGCTTATGTCAGGGATGTGTGATTTTTCACGGACTGTCTACCAAAGTAATTCCTGATCGATTAAAAAGTCAGATTTTTTAAAAGTCAGAATATATATTTTTTTCTCCAATAATTACGTGTGTATATATTTATTTCCCTCAAGGAATTATAACTTTTAAATTTTAAAGCAATAGAAAAGAATCGAAGGAGCAGATTCTTTCCTGGCAATACAGAGATGTAAAACTTCTATAAAACAACAAATAACCAAAATAGAATTGTAAGCAACAAATTGGAATGTTCACTATGACTAAAATCAGGGTTAATATTTAAGTTCCCTGAATCCTTTATGTGTGAAAGGATGATGTTACAACTCTAACAGATGAGCAAAGTATTTTCTTCTCACAAGAAAAAGATAAAAATGATAAAAAAGAAGAAAAAAATCATCGTTGGAAATAGATTCAAATTAAAGCATTTTGAGGTACCATTATATATCTCCTAAATTAGCTAAACGATTTTCTTTTCAAAACAGTAACATGCAAAACTGAGACACTTACAATGAAAACTGATATCCTCCTCCGCTGATTATCACCGCTGCAGATGGCACAGGACATCGCTGTCTGACTGCCTTGTACTCATACCCACAGCCAGAAGGGCGCCCGTATGTTAGTCTGCTCGGGCTCCACACCGAAGCACCACAGACTGGGCGGCTTAAACAGCAGATATTGATTTTCTTACAATTCTGGAGGCCAGAAGTTCAAGATCAAGGTGTCAGCAGGATTGATTTCTTTTGAAGCTTCATTCCTTGGCTCGTAGATGACCATCTTACCCCTGTGTCCTCACATGGTTGCCTCTGGCCTTATGTGTGTTTTATACCCTCTTTAAAAACACCAGTCAGATTGGATTAGGACCAAATGACTCATTTAACCTTAATTACCTTTTTAAAGGTTCTGTCTTCAAATATAGTCACATTCTGAGGGTACTGGGGGTTAGGACTTCAATATATGCGAGACGAGGGGTTATAATTCATTCTGTAACACCCCGGTAATACCTCTCCTTGATCATTTATTCTAAGGAAATAATTCAAATAAAGAATGGATATGCACAAAAAGTCACTTGTATTTCAGTAATATCAAACAATTAAAAGCAGCTGAAGTATTTATAGCAGAAGTTAAATAACTTGTTATATTCATACAGTAGACTATTTTGCAGACATTAAAAATTTTAAGAATGAAAACTATAAAAATGTTTTAAAAAGTCTCGTAATGAGAAAAGTAGAATACAAATATGTGATTGTGAAAAAATATCTGTGCACAAGGATAATTACTGGAGAGGAAAGGAAGGTAAAGTTATTTCTTGTGGTGCTCTAGATATAGGTGACTTGCTTTTTTCAAACTATTTTCATCATTTTTTTCCTTTTGTTTCAAAAAGAAAAAGTATGTTGGATCGAGTAATGGGTAGTAAGACAGTACCAGGCTTCCATGGTAGGTAGTACCAGACTTTTAGAGCCTTAAGTTAGAATTTTAGGCAAAAACAAGAAAAACGAAGATAAGTTGAGACTTCACTGGTTAGTCTAGCAGCTCAGCGACGTGGCGATCATGCCAGAGTCCCTGCGAAGGCTTTGGGACGCCAGGCGCTCTGCTGTCCTGTAGAGGACTCAGCCTGGCCTTGGTGTCCTGAGACAGAGGGCGGGGAGGTGGCAGGGAGCCGGCTGGCTCCCTGTGACCTCGGGCCGTCCACGTCTTCTCTGACCCTCTTACAGTGCGCGTTTGGCAGTAGTTCCTGACAGAGGCCCTCTTACTTCCTGACAGAGGCCCTCTTACTTTCTGCATTCTTTCTCTTTTGACTCTGACCCGCACAGAAGTCTTGTCCATGCTGTATTTCCCTTGCACGTGACAATTATTAAGCCTGCTCTGGCCATTCTGTCCATCTCGCAGAGAGCCAGCGCCAGGGAGGAAGAGAAAGGAAGTCAGCCCCTTCCGTTCTCCCGCACGTGACGATGAGAAGCTAAGTGTCCCTGCAGCTCGGTGGAGGTCCGCAGGCCTTCACTCTGCCATGTTTCAGGGGACCTCTGAGTGGACCGGAAATGCTATATTTCATTTTCAGACTCAAGCCCCAGGCCTCCTCAGCCGGGATAGGAGGTCAAGAGCTTTAGGAGGCTAGACGCCTACCCTGTGCCTGCCTGCCCACCCCTGACTCCCACCCTGCCGGGACATGGGCGGCTGGCTGTTCGAAGGGCTGGCCACAACCAGTGGGAAACCAGTTTCAAGGATGTCGCTGCACTGGAGAGAAACAAGCAGAAGTAGGGGTGAGAGGAACAGTGGCTGCGGGCATTGACAGAACCCCTGTCTCTTCCCCGAGCTGGGAAAATCCATCACTCCCTTTCTAGGGGTCTTTCGGGCCCCCAGATGGAGGTCTCGTGAGCAAACAGAGAGAATAATAAAGATGTGCTAGCCTTGAAGACTTATGCCGAGCAACAAAGACAGTATTGCCCTGCAGTGTTTGGACTCTGAGCCTTTTATCTGTGTGTTTTCTCAAACATTTGCCTGCGGCATCCGGGCACACACTGTTCTCTCCTCCAGGGTTAGGTGGAGGGATTCTTTATTTTTAAGGATGAACCAAAATAAGGACGAGCACAATGACTCAGATGCCTCGCGCAGTGCCACCGCGAGAGGATGCGAGCCCCGGGGTTGCCCAGTCACCCGTGGACCCAGCTCACCCACACTGTCTGGGCATGGAGGGTGCAGGCATGAACAGGGGCGTCAAGATCCTCCAGGGGAGCCCGTTTCTGGAGGGCAGCAAATAATAAATAAGCAGACTCGTCAGATGAGGGCTCCTAGTCCAGCTCACCATTTGGCAGCCGCGTGACATTCAGCATGCGACTTCGGCCTCACTGAACTCAGATTCATCTGTCAGAGGAGACTGACAGTCTTAAAGGGGTACTTTAAGGCTTGGGGAGTGCACATGGTGACGGTGAGGGCAGTGCCACCGGGCTAAGATTCTCGTTTCCTGCCTGTGAAGTGAAGGGGAGGTTGGGAGGTAAGAAGGATTGTGGAGCCCGTCAGCGCCCCCCGGTGGGGAGGACTGAAGGCTCTCCTGTCCCCTTCAGCAGGGAGGCTAGTCTTTGGTACCAATTGTTTTTTTCTGCCATTTAGCCTCTAAACACAAAAGCAAACAAAAAATGCTGAATTGAGTTCAAGCCCAGTGTCTTCCCACGTCGGAGGTGGGTGAGTTGCGTGTACCAGTGTTGAGGAAGACGCCCGGGGTTTGCTGGGAGAGTCTCCAGTCCAGAGCCCACCTGTTCAGGCCCGCTGCAGATACTGGGTTCTTACCATGAACTCGTGAAAGTGTGACAGAGTTCAAGGATTATCACTCAGCCGTTTAACAAATACTGGTTAAACTGGATGATGGAGTAGAAGGCTGATAAAATCTCTGTGCCTCAAGAAGCTCCCAGTCTGGTGGGGAGACACATACGTGGTACTGTCATACAGCAGGACGAGGGACACGCACGGTGTCTTGGTGTGTGGAGGAAGGAGCAGCCAGCTTGGCCAGGAGAGTTAGAATGTCACCAAGAAGGTGGCACTGGAGCGGATGTTTATGTTGGGCTTCGAAGCATCACTGGGTGGTAGGACAGACAGACACTGTCTGACGGTGGGCGGTTACTTCCTCCCGGAACTTCTTTTTGTTTTAATTCTTGCGTCCAGTAGACGTTGTTGACCTTCTCATCTCAGTAGCCTTTCCTGCTTGTCACAAAACACGCAGGAAGAGGACATTGTGCACAGCTACATAATGCAGTTGGTCTAAACATTAGTTAATTGGCTTTAAAATGCCACGTTATTTCTGAGATTCCTACAACGAAAATTATGAAAAGTGCATGGTGACATGAAGAAGAACATGCCGCAAAGCTGCTTTCTGCCACCACGATGGAAACGAGCTCGGAATTCTGATGTGTGATTAGTGTTAACTTGATTCCTTACAAAAATACCGTCAGCGGTATGAAATAGGACGGTCTAAGCTAGGTGTCAAAGCCATGGGAAGCTGTACTTAGATTAAGACCAGGGCGACACACAGAGGATATACAAGCCGAAAGAGCTTAGAAAACATGTTTTAAAAGGGCAAGTTTGGTACTAACCGTTCTGGAGTTTTAAGAACACATTTTAAATATCTCCTGCCAGTTATCCTATTTATATTAGTGGGGTTGGCAGATATATCTTCCCAATGGAGTAGAAAAGAAAGTTTTCTTGTTCTGAAAAGAATGTTTTTCATGTGGATCCGCATTCAGGGGAGTGTCGGGGTCACCGAATACAGACCACGGCGAAAGCATGAATGAAACGGTAAACGTGGTTGTGAAAAGCCCAGGCTTAGAGGTCAAGGTTGACCTCAGTTCAGATTCTGGCTCCATGATACTGACCATGACATTAAGCAAAATTTTACACCTCAGTTTCCTAATCTATAAAACGGACAGGTAAAAGCGCTGACGAGAGAGTTGAATGGGGAGGACTTGGCGAGGGGCACGTGCACAGTGTTCCGCGTGGCTCCTGGCGCGCGGCGTACGGTAGCGGTCTTCGTGATTCGAGGGTGCTCTTGGTCTGTGGCCATGGCTTGGGTTAAAAGGAAACCATGTCTGTCACCCCACAGCTTGATCTCAGAGATGCTCATGCCCCACGTGTGCTGTCTGGAGCAGGCCCTGTTACCAGGGTAAAGGTGTTTATGATAACAAAGGCCAAGGGGCAGCGCCTGGCGAACCCGCGGGGAGCGTGTGGCCGTGTGACGCGTCTGTTGGCGAGCAGTACGCTTCGCCCCTCTCACGTCTTGCCTGTCTTATTTCTCGAAGGTGAATGACTCGAACTGTGACCGAGAACTTCTTTCCCTGCTCCTGGACGCCAAGCTGCTGGGGCCGTGCGTCTCCACAGCCTTCTACCCGCGTATCGTTGAGCACCTCTTGGCCAGCCAGCAAGGGCGCTGGGACGCGGAGGAGCTGGCCAGAGACCTGCGGGAGGCCGGCCACGAAGCCGAAGCGGGGTCGCTCCTGCTGGCTGCGAGGGGGACTCACCGGGCCTTGAGAACGTTCAGCACGGCCCTGAGCGCGGGCCGGCACTGGGTGTGAGCGCCGGCCCGCGGCCCACGCGGCCTCGATGGCGTCTCACTCCTAGGCGGACCGGCGTCCAGAGCCAATGCTGTTCCCAGAGGCCACGCCTGGGCCTGTCCACTCTTCTCGGTGGTCCCAGCAGATTGAAATAAAGCTGTACATAAACGATGAGCAAGCTGCCGTTTTTTAAACTTTTTCTTTCTTACAGTGACTGGTTAACATACTTTATTATTGACTAAGAGAGACTCGACGCTTTCTCCTATTTTTTTTTTGGTGGGGGGGTACTGCCTTTTGGGTAGAATATAATTAAAGTGTCTAAAAGTGCAGACAGGTGGATGTGGTGGTGGGTAGGAGAGGGCGGACCTGGAGTCCACCTGTCTGAACTTCAGGCTATCGTGTATAAAATGAGGATTATATTGTTTATCTCCCAAGGTGGTTGAGTGTTATGTGAGGTTGTGTGTCTGAGGCTCTGTCAGATACACAGGAGGGGCCCCAAGAAATGTCATCCCCGCTTCTCCCGCTGGTGTTACAGTATATGAGTTGTGATCTTAAGGCCACAGCCAGATGGTCGGTACCAGCATGTGAGGGCTGCCTACTCAGGTAAGGCATCTCCAAACTTACCAGCATCACTATATGAGGGCTGACAGATTTGCATGTCTGCGAAACATCTGTAAAACCCGGGTGGATGGGCTAACGTAGCCAGCGCACACACTTGTCAGAGGCAGGATAGGCACATCAGGTTCACTGACGTGCTTGAAGCTGGAGGCTCAGGCGGAAATTCTGGACTTGGCTCCCCTGAGGCTCTCACACCAGAAACAAGCCACGGCCACAGCCAGGCAGCCGCTGCGGGGAAAGAGCAGACTCTGTGACGAGTGTGCCGTCACAGGGTGCCACTGACACACACTGGTCTCTACCTCGATCCTCAAGAAATGGAGGGGAGGAGGGAGGGTGGCTGGGTGTTCATAGGAAGGTTTAGTTTAGATAGATGAGATGAAATCATATAGGACAATACTTCATTTTAAGGAGCAATTTTTAATCAGTTTAATTCATTTGAAAAGGCTGCCTTTGGTCGGTTTTCATATTGTGCTGTCGAAGCCGGCGGGCTGAGTGTGACACAGCTCGCTGTGGATCTTTGATGAGGCAGCCTCGTTCCCACACTTCCTCCCCACATTGTCACCGATGTTATACACACACCTGCCGGGTGTACTGTCTGCATGAGAGTGACACCAGCTCACCTCTCAGTCTGTCATCCTCGTCACTGGCTTCATCTCATTTCTGCTCCTGTGGGCGCAGCTACACGGTCCTCTGACCACCCCCCAAAAAAGTTTTTATCATCGTTGGAAGAGATCGACTAGCATAATAGACTTGTGACCTGTTGTCTACCCCAGGATTGAGTTTCTTGCTCGACCCAAACCTTTAGCAGCACCTGGAATTTGGGAATAGCGTGTACGAGCCTCTAAAATACTTCTGAGGAGAGTGGTCAGCATGTTCCTCCCAACTAGGTAACGTCTGTCTAGACAGACCCATGAGGCCAAAATGTCCTTCAATTCCGATGGCAGCATCTGTGCCAGATGGCGTTAAACCACTGCCAGGAAGCGTGACTACTGGTAACTTTGGTTTTCTCTAACCTTGCAGCCAACGTCCGTCATTTCAGGTAATGGAAAACATCATGTGAGCAGTAGTCTGAGATACTGTGGTCCGTGTGAATGGAAGCCATTGGGAAAGTGTGCCCAGGGATGAGTGGGGTCTGGAGTGAGCCTCGAGTATCAGGTAGCCTTGGTGTGAACACTGTGAGACCTCCAGGTAAGCCACTTGTTACGACCCTCATTTTCTCATGCATAGTAGGGATCATAATGCCTTCCAAATATTTACAACTAAACAAAATAATGCTCTTGTATCACGGCCACCCAGTTCGCTCTGTGCCTTGCGGGAACCTCACTCTGCAAGGAATTCCTCTCTGTGTTGACGATGCCAGGCCCTGCTCCAGCTGCAGAAATTCTCCCCCAAACATATATCCCAAGCTTTAAGGGCATTAACTCATTTAACCCTCATGATAACCTTATAAGGAAACGAGGTACAGAGGGAATAAGAAACTTGCCCAAGGGCACAAAGCGAGCAAGTAATGGAACCCTGATGCGGTCTCAGGTAGCCTGACTCAGAATCTAGCCCCTGGCCGCAATGCTATATTAACCTCAGTCGTCTCGGCTCTTCCGGTCCCTCTGCTGAGACAGCTGGATGAGTTTCCTGGAGGGCATTCGAATGACATGATGCTATATTTTCCAGCCCTTCCTTCCGTTTATGAACTGATTATCCCATGGCAAAAGGGGGCGGCTGTGAAATGTCCTTTGACTCTTCCCAGCTGCCTGCTGATGTCCCAGCCTTCCCAAAGATGGGGCGCACTTCATCTCTCTGTTCAAGAGTTCGAATACTTAACTGTCCACATTCCCCCGCTTCTTGTGGAAGGCCTAAGGGCCTTCATTCAAACCTTCCATCGTAGTCTAGATTTTCCAGAAGGTGCAAGTAGATTTGACCACCATTAACATTCTCTGTAGACAATTACTATTATTATGGCATCACCTGTCTTGTTAGAATGAGGACGAGTCAAAACTGTCCAAAGTGTTAATATCCTCTCTGAAGGTCATCGGCACCACTAGTTAACCATCATGGCTGCATGTTAGAATCTCCTGAGGGGAATTTAAATCGTACTGATGCCGAGTGCCCCACCCCAACCCTGATTAATTGAATCAGAATATCTGGGGGTGGGGCCCCCACAGCCAGCCAGGGGAACTGGATTTACATCACTGACTTTTGGGCCCTGTCTGCCCACTTGCCTTTCTTTCCAAAGCAAACGAGGAGATTGAAAGGACCCAAACCCGGCCCCTTTGTCCATGCCCGTCCCCCGTTCTGGAAAAGTCAGCTGGGAAAGGAGGAGGATGGAGTTCTTGGCTGGGAGTGACATGTCGATGCCAGTTCTCTTTCCTGGGCCCTCACGTACCAGGGCGAGCAGGAGCTGGCTTGGAAAGGAAGGGAGCAATTCAAAAAAGACATGAAAAGCCCATCGCTTGTTTAACCTGCAGCTACATTTAGATCTGGACTCGAGGTGGTTCCCGAGTCAGCTTGGTTCTCCGTGTCTGGACAGCAGCAGCCCCGTGGTGTGCTAAGTTTCCCCCTCACCTTGAACACTGGGTCTTATCATTTTGGAGAGAAAACTCATTATGATAAATGTAGCAGGAGAGCATTCAAATGCAGGTCGGCCCTGCTTTGGAGAGAGGCTACATTTTTCTCCGCTTAACTATCAGCGCAGCAGCTCCGCTCTCTCATTGAGCTCCACCAGCTGGGGATTCACTATCTCTTCTTAATAACGCCAAACTCATTATAAACCGAAGATGGCTTATAAAATGAGAAAATAGGAAAATAGACTACTGGGTGCTGCAGGGCTTGAAACGAAGAAAAGGAGGCTCTCGAGCGAGTGCCCGCACGTCAGGCTGTCTCCCCGCCAGCAGTGGGACATAGGAGAAGCAGGGCTTGGTTTCCCGTTGTTCTAATGAACCTGGGATCGGACTTGAGACCAGCTCTGCAAACTGGAGGGCTGTGGTGTTGCAACCTGCTCACAGCTGTGAGCCTGGAATGATGCTCATCAAACGATAACAAGTAAAATGAAAATCAGCTTTGACTCGCTGCTGCCATTAAACTACTGGAGTATGAGTGTCTCCTCCCAGGTGGCTCTCTGCGTTCTGGAAGGGCGCCTCGGGGCACAAAAGGCAGATTTCAGAAACCAAGGCCCTTAGCCATGGTCAGGCGGCGAGAGAAGCCATGGGGTGTGTGCTGGTTTTGCTGTCTGCCCTGCTGCTGGGCCTTCTCCACGTGGCAGGGCGCACGGCCACCTGTAGCCCCGAGTGGACTTAGTCTCAGTGTTTGGGCCACCCCTCCCACAGGTAGGTCGACCTTCAGGACAGACTGGTGGGGTCAGCGCTGCCGTGAGGCCGGCTGTGTGACCAGCAGAAGCAGGAGAGGGGTTGGGGGTGGGACCAGGCAGTGGCTCAACTTTAGATCTTCAGACAGCGACAGGGACCAGGTCTCTGAAAGCCCAGAGCGGGGAGTGGGAGGTCTGTGCAGCAGACAACAGTTTCCTCAAATTCAGATGTTCGCCGGTGGTGCCTGGTGGAGCAGGAAGAGCAGATTCGGCCCCCAGGCCCAGCCTTGCCATTTCCGAGCTGTGTGACTCGTGTGCCTGCTGAAGGCGTTCGGCAGCCTCTGTCACCCTGTGACCTTACTCCTTTTAGATTTGCCGAAAGGGAGAGAAAAGCAGCCCCAGCCCCTTGGCCCTGTCATTCCTTTCAGGAACACCTGCAGGAGTTGCCATGGCAACAGGATCACAGCCCTGCGCTTCTCTGCCCGGGCTTGTTAGCGCCTTGCTGTCTGTTAACCACAGTGCTGCAAATTGTAGGGGCCAGAGGGTCTCCCAGCAAAGGGTAATTGCGGTACAAGTTCAGGACTCTCAGTCTCAGAGGAGGCCTGGAGCTGGTCTGTCCCAAGGGATCGAGGTCACTAGAATCAGAGCTGTTGCCCGGGCCCCTCAGCTCGTGCGATGACCTTGCAGGGTGCAGTGCAGCAGGCCTGACAGCCTCCCGGCATCCCGTGGGCACTGTCCCCACCCCGCGGTGGCAGAGCGGCCAGAGCGGTGCCACCAGCAGCAGCACTGTGTGCACCCTTCCTTCCTGCAACACTCTTCACAGCTCACAGAGTGCGTTCGCGGCCTTGGACTCCACAAGAGTGGAGGCACGTGCTGTTACGGATGAAGAAACAGGTGGAGACGGGTTAAGTGACATAGCCAGGGCCCCCTCCCCACCCCACTCCCCTGCCCACGTAAGCAGGAGAAGTGGGACTGGGACCTGGGTGTCCCCTCCGGATCCTTTGCTCTGTCCTCTGTGCTCCCCCTGCCCCAGTTCTCATGCTGTGCTTTGGCTTATCCGAGTGACTCTCGCAGACGCTTATCTCCAGGGTCAAAAAATGGTCTCGACGCGGCTCTCTCTGAACTATTCGGGCATTTTGCTGGAGAAAAGAGTACCTGTGTTTCATGGCCAGTTCAACTTGGTGCCCGGTTAGTATTGTAAGACTCTTGGGAAGGGAATTCTGGGTGGTGATGAGGTGGGTCATCCAGGTAGCAGAAG